AAGCGGTCACCGGCGACCGCAACCTATTGTTCTATAATTGTGTCTATAATGACGGTACTCGACGAGTTAATTAAGAACTACAAAAAACAAAATATAATATAAAGCAAAGGTAAACCAAGGTATCATAGAAAGGTATATCAAGGTTCAAAGCCTAACAAAATGAATATCACAGTATTATGTTCGTAGTCTTATTCATGCGTAATCCGTACGTAACGTTTTCTCATAGAAAAAATAATTACAACTGTGATTTATTCGTATTAACTCGTCGAGTACCGGTTTTGTAGACACAATTATAGAACAATAGGTTGCGGTCACCGGTGACCGCTTGGTGTTTGACAGTTTAAGTCACACAAATATAGTCTTTAAGTAGCTGGTAACAAAGTCTATCTAATCAGTAGTAATCAGACCTAGTACTCGGCAGTCAATAGTACTCTCTCCGTTAGTTTTTATGACATAACTTCATAGTTAAACATAAAATCTAATATTACAAAACTTTGTATTATTGGCTTAAGTTAGGAAGAGCCCTAACAGTTCTTGTTTATTCTTTAATCAAATTCTGGAACTTTGAAATTGAATGTTAGTATTCAATAAAGAAGCGGTGAATAATATTCAGAAATACCTACATATTCAACATCTTTCTATGATCTTAAATCTTTGAAAGAATCTCAATTTTCGCAATACCGTTGCGATACTGGGGCGGGCCACTACTTTATACAATCAGGATTCTGACTCTGAGACCCAGAGTCTAAGTTATCATCAGGTTATGGTTCTAAATTCGGTCTAACAAGCCTAAGAGACTGGAACAGTATATTTAGAATTACAAATATCACCCACAAAAGTATATAAAACTTCTGTCGGTGATCCGTTTTGGTCTAAAAACAACGAAATAAAAGAATCTTGAAACAAGCTGACTGCCATACTTTATAAAATATTCATCTTATCATAAAATATACATTTATTTTATTACATATTATTGAAAACAATGTCCCGGGGCGGGAAGTTTATTTTTAGATCGACGAATTAATATATAAGGTAATTCAATACTTTGTATTTTCTTTATGAAACATGCGGTATGCGAAAATTGTCTCCGAATATTGTTGATTCTTGTGTTTTCTACGGAGACTAGGTTAGGTGCGTATCAACTGCAGGCACAGCATTTTTTTTTTTTTTTAGGGGGGAAAATCATCGAATGACTGCCCCCGCCTGGGTGAGGCGGGAGGGAGTGTCAGACTCTTACTGACTAAAAACCACCCCGTTCCTTCTCCTGCACGTCGAGCCGGAGCCCCGGTTACCCGTTAGGTTCTCCGCGACTCCGAATCGGCATCGGCCCTATTGGGCCCCATCTGTGGTGGTCTGATGGCTCTTTGAGGCGCGCGCGGAACGCGACGCGCCGTACGCTCGGGTCTGTTTCTGGTCGGACGGGGAGCCACCCATGCTCGCCGTCCGCAGGCCCGCGCTTACGGTGGCCGGAGATCGTCCCGCGATCCCCGACGCCCGGTGTGTCCTTCGCGATGGTTGGGTTGCGAGGAGGCAGCGCTTCGCTGCCTCACGCGTCCCGCCTCCTCCTTAGCTAGCATGACTGCTTCGCAAAAGGAGGAGACGGCATCCCAATCCCCCTCGCTCCGCATCATGGCCTGCACTAGGCCCGGACGCGAGAGGTCGCCATCGACAGGCACAGCATAAGCCCGTAATCGTACATTACTGGACTCTTCTACATAAGAGGGTTTGCGATAACCTCCACACCTTTTTTTAGGGGGAATATCATATATACATAACTTCTCCAACCTTGGATAAGGCGAGCAGGAGTGTCAAATTCTTACTGACTAAAAACGACTCCCTTCCTACTCCTACCCTTCGAACTGGAGCCCCGGTAACCCATTAAGTCTTCCGCGGCAATCGCGATGCCAAGCAGGCGGATTGTATTGTCGATGTGGCAGTTTATCAGACCGCGCTGCTGCTTCGTCTCTATGAGTATGAAATCTCTTAGTCGGCTCTTACACCACCTACAGGAAGAGTAGGAGTGACTTTAGAAACTGGACGACTTTTGAAAGCATTAAAAATATTATAAATTGTACCTTTAGGCAGGGCCGTCTTAGACTGCGCTGGGGCCCTTGGGCACCAAAAATTCGAAGCCCTTTTGGAATGTTTCTTTTTTAACATTACACTATATAAGGATTTTCTCCTGTATCGTGGGTGCGTTTACAAACATACAAGTTCACATACACATGACCCAGACCCGAAATAATAATTTGTTGATCATAGATCACAATGATTTGCTCTGTAAATTATTATGTTCTCGGCTTACTCACGTAATAATTTGACGAGGAACTCGACTAGTTTCAAGCCATGCCAGAGGCTCATATTCATGAGCAGCAGATTTGCTCTGTGTGGGAATTGAACCCCCTACACGTTGCCGGGCAGCCGGTTACCGCGCAACTTGTAGCGGATGTGTGTCCGTTGTAGAAATTATCGGTCCTTCGGGGCCCTCTGAGGATAGGGCCGGGCCCCGAGTGTCCTTATGGTAGGGACGGTACTGCCTATAGATACTGTTATATTCTACAAGGTAAATGAAAGCAAAGCTCAAAGTCTCCGTGACTAATGATCCGTCGGCTCTAAGAAATGATATTTTCCTTGGGCAATGAGAAATTATATAAAACAACGGTGATGGATATTGTTTTCTTGAAATGTCCCTTTTTATTTAAGACGAAGATGTATAGCGGTACTGGGATTCTGTTAGGTAATGACTGTCCTTGATTATAATTTTTCTGAACGCTTGATGCCTTGTAAAGCCTATAAAATGTGTACTTTTTTTTTGAGGGGAGAATTTCATCCAATGTCTTCTCCGGCCCGGGTGAGGCGGGAGGGAGTGTCAGACTCTTACTGACTAAAAACCACCCCGTTCCTTCTCCGGCAACCCGTTAAGTCTTCCGCGGTTCCGTATATAAAATGTGTACTATCTCGTCCGAATTTTCCTTTAAGATAAATATATATTTACCATACTTATGTAGGTTATCTCATACATACTGATATTTATCTACGTCCACATTAACTACAACAAATAAAACATATTTAGCACTGGATTTTATAAAAGAAATTGTTACTCATGAAACCGTTTACGAAAATAAAATAGCCTTCATTATGCGAAATCCTATTTAAGCACAACACAGTCAGGATTAGTGTCATTAAAATATAACTTACGTACCATGTAAAAACGTAAATTATGGCTTTAGTTAATTATTGTGGGAGTGAAGAGAACAATTCCTTAATCCCCAATTTTGTTTTATTAATCTCTCTAGCCTTGCGACTTTCATAATAAAGTTTAAGCCTCTCATTATAGCGGTCTGAGTGGCGAGGTGTACCTACCGGTGCGGTGGCCATGTTCTGTTTATTTTTATAACTATTTAATTACTCTCTAGCTTTTAAAAAGAAAACTTGTTTGAATCCCATTACTCCATAGTACTTACCCATGTAAGTAGAGGTAAAAAAAATTGTC